TAAGGTTCGCGTCATCATCGCCCGGAAAGAAGACGTCTTGCTGGCTCGGTGCTCCCTTATCAAGCGCGTCTACCAAGCCAAACATGTCGTCGTCACCCGTCACCCTCTCCCAGGACTCAGCAGAGGGAGGGCGGCGATCATCCGTCTGGGCGGCGAAACCCAATCGAAGCTCCTCCAAGCCACTCCCACGCAAATAACCCGCACGACCAGCATCTGGATCAAAGACACCCTCTCGGATCTCTGAGATCAAGGCCATGAGCAGGCGGAGGGGCCGGGCCAACTCGTCATCGCCATAAGTGTCAGCCATCCCTGCCGAGTTTGCATGTCCACCCAGAACCAACCGGTCCAAGTGTTCAACGCCACGCTTTGTCGCCATGGTAAGGAAAGTCCTTTTAAGCGTGTGGCCAGATGTTCTGAGTGATCCACGGTCGACGAAGATCTTCTGAAGCCATAAAGACATCTCCTCAGTGCTCACGGATGCACCGGTAGGTTCTCCCGCAGGGCCTGGCGTAGGCAAGGGTGGAACGAACTCTGTAAGTCCCACCTCCATTCGAGCCTCGTGCCACAAATCGAGCCAGTTTGGCCCAGCGATACCTCGTCCAGGAGCGATCATCCGAAGCGGTGCACCCGCAAAGAATTTAGAGTTGACTGTTTTGTAATCCTCACAAGTAAATTCCAGGAAGAGTCTCTCACCATCAGCCCCGTATTCCAGCCCACACGAGATAGAGTGCTGAAAGTCGGACCAACGGGATCGCATGTACGCGCAGCACAAAGCTGCCCCCGCGAAAACTCGATCCCAAGCGGGGACACTCTTGTCCCCCAACATGGAATGGAGCAGCCTCAAGTTCTTCAAGGTCAAAGGGTCTGCCCTCTGGCGCGCCTTACGCCGTGCACCCCTTGATGCTGCACCAAGACACCGCCGGCTGGATATCACGTTCTCAATCTCCTCAACTGAGAAGACATGTCGAACGAAGATCAACGCCTCACGAAGCGCACGCATCTGTGCTGGCTTCGCTCCGCCAGCTCTGGCTGCAACCATGTGCTTGTAAACATTGCCCTCTTCATACGGAAAAGTCTCGTCGGACCATCCTTCACTTTTGTGAAAACGAAGCAGAGAGTTAACACGCTTAAGCAGCGTACTCGGAGCTTTTGGATGCAACCAATCCCGAAGAACTTCCGTACGTTCTTCTGCGGTAGCACACTCAAGCAGACTCTTGCAGATCAAGAGGTCCGGGCGAAGATCGGCCCACCTCAAGATAACAAAGGTCCATCGAGCCATGGCCTTGTCATGGTCCTTGTCGCGCTGATCTTGCCAAGATATGCCGTGGCTTTTACGTACCACCGAAAAACACACTCCAGGAACGAGGCCACTTTCTCTAAGACGCCTCTTCTTTTCCGAAGGTGGGAGAATTTCCTCGGGATCGTCTGGTACAGGGAGGTCAGGCAGCATAAAAGTGTCTTCCCAGCCCACCACATCGCTAGGCTCGAAGATGCTCCTGAACACACCGTGCTCCCAGGGCAATTCCGTGGGCTGTCTAGCATCGCTAGCACAGGTATCCACAGCCGCACTCAGCAAAGCTTCGAAGTCTATCCTTGGGCCCTGATCGCTCGAGCACCCGTTACTCGCCCCCTGCATTGTGCTCGAGTCGTGAGCGCAGCGAGTCCACTGCACCCGAAGGTCACAGGACGCGCAGGCCAGCACTCTCGGCCATGCAAGTGCAAGCACAGGAGCAATTTCAGCAGAAGCAAGCAGCCGGCTAGCAGCCAAAACTACGTGACAGGCCATAGTCAGCGACGCTCGTCTGCAAAGAAGCAGCACCAAGGTCACCAGCACAGGCACGACAAGTTGCGGCCACAGCAATGCAGCGTAATTTTGCCATCAGCAGACACGACCGGCTTCGAAAGTAAGGTGATTCAGCTGGACCCATCGTGTGGGCACAGAGTGGGGGCTAAAGCGGCCTCCAAACGATCAAGACGAAAAGCTGTACTCATCGCAGTCTCGGCGGTCACACGTGTGAGCTCATCAAGACGTGAATGCAGAGTCCTGAGGGAGGCCCTGGTATCCAAAACAAACTCGGAAATCGCAGAAAAAGGAGAACTGGACTCCTGGCTAGCCAGCAAGGTATTCATCAAATGAGTGCGTCCCAAGCAGAGGTTGTCAACTCTGTGCCCCAGAGACTCACAGTCACTGCGGAGACAGCAAATGTGGCGCAGCAACCTCGAGGGGCTGAGGTCCCGTGCCCGTTCCCCTGAAGCATTGGAGTGTACGGTCGCATCGCGATGCGAGTCCCTGGACCTCGAGCGCTCACGCGCACGACTTGCCCTGGCAGAAGCAAAAGGCGGGCCAGTCTGTGCACGCTGACGTTCGGCCTCCCGAACGGCAAAGAGGGCCTCCTGGAGATCTTGCAAGAACTGAATCTGGGACCCGGTCAGCGCGTCCATCGATGAGGGAGCCGAACCCGCAGTAAAGAACCTAAAGGCGTAGGGTCCTTGCGAAAACTGAAAGATCAGCGGCACAGACAGCGCGCTATGACATGTGAGTGGCATGCCGGTCGAAGTTAAAGTGCACAGACCAGTTGTGGGGGACCACACCGCAAGGCACTGAAACATGCGACACATGTTGCACAACGCGCAGCAAGTTGAGTGTTTTGCCACTGCTGAGCGGGCCACGATCTGAGCTGCAGCATTCTCAAGTCGACGTGTAAAGTCCGTGAGGCCTGACACTGTAATTGCCTGGCGACAGGACAGAGCCGAGATTATCGGTCTAGTCCTGCAAAGCAATTTCGAAGCGACCTGACCAGCTCAGTGATACGGAGCTCCAGGCTCGAGACTCGATCGGCAAGCCCGAAAAAGGCCCGAGAGATCCCTGTGATCTCGCGTCGAAGAGTTTCTCTGGGCACAGGATCAGCTGCAATCAGGCGTTGTTCCAGAGCAGTCACACGCTGCTCTAACTCCCACACATGGTCAGAGAGCAGCAAGAAAGTATCATCAGTGCTAGCTCGCTCTGAAGACCCAGCAGCCGGCTCGTCATCAGGAGGCAGATTGCTGAGATCTGCCCCACAGTCAGAGGAACTCTCAGGGGCTGACGTGTCCATGTCCTAAAATGAACGGACCTGTGCCCTGCAATGCCCTAAAAGCGCTCGCAGCCAGATGCAGGCACGGCTCAAACTCGGAAAAGTAAGCTCCGAGGCGGAACGCAACTCACACAGTCGCAGCCCTACGAAGCTCTCGCACAGAAAGGCTCCCAGCTGACGCATGTCACTCTGCAAGAATGCCGTTTTACTCACAGCTGAGTGATGCACGATCCTGCTGGGCATCGCCAGCTGCTATGTCAGGAGATCTGCAAACCAGGCGCCGATGCTATGTTCACTGAGAGCAAGACATGCTGAGTTTCGCGCAACTGAAGTTGTCGACAACTGTGAGCACATGACTGAAACGGCGCTTGGAGCAAGTGCACAAAGCAGCGCACAAGCGGAAGTCCTGGAGCCGGGCATCGCCGGCGCGTGCCGAAGCAAAACTGGTCCCAGAATCTTCATCCAGGTTGGCACTGCAGCATTGTCGTAAATAAAGCCAAAATGCAATGCAACTGCAGAGCTCACAAAAGTCCTAAGTGCCACGGCGTCGGTCATCGACAGCCCACGGAGGCAAGTCTCCCTGGAAGACGTCACCAAAACTAGGCCACCTAAAGAAAAGCAGGGCCTAGCAGCTGCCGTCAGAGCGCGATACAGGCGGCACACTTGTGACAGCAAGACTGGTGATGGCAGTGGCTACTTCGGCCATCGCCTCCTCGAGCTCAGTCATTCTCTCAGCCAGGCTATCAAGGCGAGACAGAACATCAGTCTTCAAAGTACGTACCTGTGCTTGAAGCTCACCGACCTGGAAGATGAGGCCAGCCACATCATCGGCCACCGGCGCCACTTTGGCACCCACTTGGACCTGGAGGTCGTGAAGATCACGAAGAGTTGCGAGGGCAGCAGGCTCCGGCGCGTGTGGCTCCGGTTCAATGAGAACCTCCACCATTTCATCGTCGTCGCCTGTAAGGGTGGCATCGTCACTCTCTGGAAAAGAAGCACTCACGCGGTCAGAGACAGCCATTGAGCCGACAGCCCGAGAGCGACCCAGCCCCCTAAAAAGAATTTTTCCTGCCCACTTGAGCAAGAAACCTTGCATTCGGATCGTCATTCAAATGCCCATGTTTCTCAATGCTCATGCGTGAAAGTAAAAGAGCAAATCGTGAAAAGACGGAAATCTCATGAAAATCACCATGTTCAACCTTGTCGCAACTCGACAACGGTTGTTGTGAAAAAGGAAATAAGGTGATAATCACAAGTGATGAAGTCACTGTCGGACAGCACACCAGTGCGGCAAAACCAGAAAGCTTCCAAGGCGAGGGCAAAGGCTGAGGCGCAGGGATCGAAGGCTAGATCCGAAAGGTTGACCTGTGCAACCTGAGGCTACCGATCGTCGAACGACTTTGCATCCGATAGCCAGAGCTCCTGGTGCGCAACCGCGGCGCTGAAGGCTCGGATACCTGGCAAGGCTGCAGGCTATAGGTGAGGGCGGGCGGGGCTTTTCGAGAACTGCAAGTGCTAGAGCCAGGCTACACGAAGGCATGTAGGCATGTCATGTGTAGAGATTCGCAAGCTCCGAAAACATTCCTGAAACAAAACAGGTAACGTTTTAGGTAGGCTTGCACTGCTCTAGCACTTCAGCTCTCTTTTTTAACCGTGTTGGATCTGTAGGCTCGCGGCTAGCCAAAGGCTGGCCGATCAAGAAAGGCTTGATCGGCCGAATAGGAAATCCCCCACTTCAGGGACAGATCCAACCGGTAAACAAGGCAGGCTGGAGTAGTCCCGCACCGCGGGCGGTGGAGCTGGACCTGTGCGAGGCAAGAAGTGACGGCTGGTTTCTAGCAAGGCTAGGTTGAAAAAGACCGCCGTGCAAGACACGAGTCTTTTTCCCCCTTTGCGTCGGCTAGTCTGGTCGCTGGGCTGACTTAGTCAGCCGGGCCGAGGCATGAGCGGGCTAGAGTCAGAGGACCCCGGGTCTCCGGCCCAAGTGGCCTGGGAGGCTGCTGATGCAAGGCGGTTCAGGGTGATCCGCACCCGCTCCTGCGGTCTATGGCTGAAGGCTTGGAGACGTCCTCGGCTGAGGTCGTCCGCCCACTGATTATGTGCCCCTGCCACATGGGACACCTGAAGTTCAACGCCATGGCATGATGACCACGAGGCTATAAGCTGAAGGAACTGGGTCAGCGTGGTACCTGGTAGTGAATAGCTGAATAGCTTGTCAGCTTGTTGACTCCTGCTTCTGAGGGGGTGTTGTCGCTCTGCGAAGGCAAGCAGACTGAGAATTGCGAGAAGGCGTGGCGTTCTCGGGCAGTCATGGCTAAGGCCAGCTGGGCTAGGGTCTCGAAGCAGGCAATGTACTTCTGGGCGTCTTTGATGAGGAAGGCGAGCCTGACCTCCTCCATGCTCCAGGTTTCAGCGAACCACGCCATGCTTTGCTTGGTGGTGATCCGTCCACCTATGCCGACCCTGTCCCCTTCGGCCATGGCATCTGCACGGGCGAGGCAAGGCACAAGCGCGGAAGGGACAGGCTGGTGGTTGGGATGGCTTCAATGCGGGGCAGGAGCCAGCGAAGGCTGTCCTGGGCAGCGTTGGTTAGCCTGATCTCCGGGCAGGTGGGATCTGAGATCCGGACCCAGGTGGGTCCGGAGGACTTCGGCTGGGGCGGTAGGTCGGCTTTGCAGTGCACGGGTCGACTGCCGACCTCTATCACACGGGCTTTGAAGAACAAAATTGACCCCTGGTACGAGTCTGCATATGATGAGGTGAGGGTGAGAGGCTGGCTTGGTTTGGTGGAGAGAGGCATGGCTGCGAACATACCGGCTGCTTCCAGAGCTGCCAGGCCCGGGTCGGCACACGGCCAGGTGGGTAAAGGAGCTGTGGCCAGAATGACCCTGTCGGAGTCCGGCTCCGGGCAAAGGAAAAGTCCGCCGTCATCACACAAAAGGGCGATGAGTGAAAGAGGAAATGGTCAGGTGAGAGGAAGAGCAGGGCTGAGGCTCCGGAGGAGCGGATGGCTTGCAAGAACCAACGTGAGGTGCCAACGCTCCGAGGTCCGCCAGAATGCCGAGAACAGTGCGGGACCAGATGGCCTGGAGAAGGCGGTCTGGGAGCTGCTGTGAGTCCTCCTGGGAGAGATCAATGGCGCAGACATTGGCGTCCTGCGCGTGTCGCAGGCATGTGGCCCCAATGGGTATTGATGGGCAAACCGCTCGGGTCCTAAGGCAAGGAACTATGTGGGACTTAAGGGCTTTGCGGCGGCGGGGTTCGAGGCCTGAGCTGGCTGTGGCTGAGGGGGTGGTTGCTGCGCTGCTGGCTGCGGTGGCTCCTGACCGGGCTGGAGGTCTGGCTGTACCTGAGAGGCGGGACCTATAGTCAGGAGGGCTTTTTATCATGGTCTATGGCGCAATGCTCTTTGCCGCACCCCCTGCATGCACAGAGGTGGGCGAATTTGCAGTCCGGCAAGGCGCAGAGATTTCTTTAGTAACGCTTACAAAGGACTTTACCCTTGGCTTTCAAAACCCAATTGGCTGGCCAGGCTTCCGACTTAGATGGGCTATCCGGGTTCTTAAGGCCTTTGCCGCGACCCTTACCTTTGCCGCCTTTCTCCGTGGCTTGTGCGTTGAGACAAGCGCTTGGTCGGTGGAGGGGGCGGGTTGCCCCCGTTGGGTCGGCGGTTCGGGCCCGGCGGCGTAGGCGGCGGCCTGGGTCTCGGCTGCAAGAGGTTGGCTAGATCACTGCGAATGCTAGTGACCTCATACAAGGTTTCATCAAGGCTCCAGCCGGAACCCACAAGGCTGGATATGGTATTCCAAATCTTTCGGTCCGCCGCGAGGAGCTCCTGCGTGGTGGGTCCGCGGAGAGAGGAGTCGGCAAGATCTGGCGACACGCTTGTCGAAGGCTTTGAGGTTGTTAAGATGGGCTGCTCCGCACAGGGCCCACGCATTCCGAAAGACGGTTTGGATGCGCTGCAACCACGAGACTGAAAGGCGGAGATGTGAGACCTACCCAAGCGGGTGCCGGAGCACCCGATCCCCGAAGCGGACCAGCTCGAGCTTATACGCATAGCCTGTGATGTCATGGATTGGGACTACAACTCCATGATTCAAACAGCCGACGACGGCCAGCCGTTTCGCCTTAATCTGATGCAGGCCTTTGCGGACCTCCTCCAGGACCTCGATATAGAAACCTGCCAGCCTTACTTCGGGTAGGAGTTCACACGGGGTTTTCGATGAAATCCAGCCTTCGGGGCTTTGGCCCCTTGCCAAGATTCAGCCACTTCGCTCGTCTGGTCTGGAGGTCTGCCAAGGCAACTGGAAGCCAGCCGAAGCCGACCCTGACACAGTTCGCAGCCAGACGCCTTTGGCCTAAAGGCATAGCCGTCGGGAAACTCAGCCTGGTTAAGGCAGAAAACAGAGACCCGCGTCTGGTCCTTGACAGCACGGTGTGCCAAGTGAACCCTCTGTGCCGCATCCCGGAAGCAGTGGCCATGCCTACGGTCAATGATGTCAGAGCTACCTTCCTGCCTTCAGACCCTCGCGGCTCCTTTCTAGCAGCCAGTATAGACTTCAAGGCAGCCCACAAGCGAGTCAAAGTCCATAGCTCCGAACAAGGCCTTCTTCTGTTTATATTCGAAAAAATCCTTTACAGATATGTCGTCTGCCACTTCGGGGCCAAGTTCTCAGCCTACTGGTGGCAACGCGTGGGTGGCCTCATCACGCGCATAGCGCACCACGCGCTGGCCTTTGCGCCCCACAAAGCCTGGTTGTACGTGGACGATCTCCTATCAGCCTTACTCCGAGCATTCGCGCCTGAACTTCTCTTCCTTCTCATAGCCACTTTATCTAGCCTCGCAGCCCCTATCAGCTGGAAAAAGGCCTCGGTAGGGGACAGCCTTGTCTGGTGCGGTTGGCACTTCAATTTCCGCCTGGAGACCGTGGACCTTTGCGAAGCCAAAAGATCCAAGCTCTGCGGCCAACTGAGAGGCCTGCTTGCCCGCGAGAAGGCAGCAATCAGCAAGGTCCTCCGTGCCCACGTCGCCCCGCTATACAGCGTTCTGAACAGCCCACCGGGCAGCAACTGCTCCATCTCACCGAGGATGTGGCCAGCCGGCCAGCCTTCCTACACAGCCTTGACTTCAGCCCTCAATCACCATGTCGAGCTCACGCCAAACCAAGCTCCCATCTGCGACGGTGCGCTCAGCCGACTGGAGCCACCCTAAGCCCTAAGCCAAGCCCTACAGCCATGCAGAGCATCATGACAGCCTGGCTGCAGTGGGCCTCCATCTCAGGAGTATCATCGTATATTGCTTCCGTCCGCATAGGCTTGGAGGACTTGACTTCCATAATTTCAGAATACTGTTCAGAGCTAAGTCGTAGCTGCCACGGTATCCACTTCAGCTTCTCGCCAGGCTGAAGGCTGTGCTGCACTAGGCTGAGAAGGCGTATGGAAAGCATGGTGTCGTCGTCCAGCAGCTCACCCGGGTAATTGGCCTTGAAGGTGGTGACGAGATCTTGGACGACCTCGGAACTGAGCTTCGGCGGAAAATGTTCCATCCATGAGGATGGGGACGCGGACGGGGTGAGAGCTGCCGAGAGCGAGGGCGGAGAAGGTGAAGGCTGGTGGGCGTCCTGCGACCTGTGGGCTGTTGCAAGGGCTTTCCTGGCTCGAGCTGCCTGAACAGAGTGCAGCGCGTCCGACACCCCCATGTCGCTAGGTCTGATTCTGACAGTTCCTTGCAAGAAGGTGTCAAAACTTGCAAGGTCTGGGTATGCAAAGGCTAGGTCCTCGATAGTCTCCAGCCCCTTGAAAGCCAGACCGTTGCTGACTACCTCATGCACCCCTTGGGTTTGCAGGAAGGCTGCTAGCTCGGATTGCTCGGAGAGCGCCATGCCTGCCTGGAAAACAAGGGGGGACGGGGAAAAGTGTACGCCTAAAACGGCTGCACATGCAACGAGCAGCTGAGACTTCGAGCAGCTGACCAGAATAAGCTAGAAAAGAGGGCCAGGCAATGCAGCTTTTCTAAGCTAATGCGTCCAGCAAGCGTCGGCAAGCCGCTCTGCGGCAGAAAAAGGCGACATTAGGGCATGTCGGACAAAAGGCTGCCATGGTTCGGGGCGTCCCGCAGGCTGCCTTGGCTGCTCCCGCTGGCTGCGCATGAACCGACCCCCAGGGTCCGTTCTGAAAGAGACTAATGTCCGCAACGGTCCCCGAAGCGGTCTGATCGTCGGAGTCCGAGGAGGAGCCCAGTCCATTCCCGGTTCGACGTGACAACGGATATGCTCCGTATTAGGTCACTACCAGCAAAATAGGAGAAGAGCTGTTCATTGACACACAAGCTGCACTGCGGCACCTTCCATCCTGCAGCGCAAAGACAAAGCCAACAATCAAACTTAGCGGCCGGCTCCATTGGAGTAGCAGCTGTTGCAGGAAGGCCTGTGGCTCCCAAATGGAGCCACCCGGCAACCTGGATCGCAGCCGCGAGGGCGTTTCTGGTGGCTCGGCGCTGTTGGATCCGCGCGAGCTTTCGCTCTTGCCACAGAGACTCGCGCTCCAGCCAGGCGCCGCGAAACACGGTGGTCCTCGACAGCAGCAACCGTATCGTTGAACATATCGGGTGCATCGACGCCCACCACGCGTCCGGTGCTGACATGATGTTGTCATCCGGAAGGTAGTCTCTCTGCGCGGCAAGACTGCCTCAGCGAGCAGTCGGCGTCGGGCCGCCAGGCGGCTGGTAGAAGCAGGTTGTTGCTTCTGGCGGGTTGACATCCAAGCAAAAGCAGCAAATCTTATCCTGTAATTTTGGAAAATCCGAAAAATCACAGAGTCGAGTTCTCCAAAATCACAGCGCTTTTTTGGATCCCAGATCCAAAATCACAGTTCTATATCCAAAATCACATTTCCCGGTCGAAACTTCGACTCCTCATGGGTCGAAGTTTCGACTTCTCTCTAGTGAGACCTCTAAAAAAAAGATGCTGCGCATTTCGGTGACGAAAAGCTCCACCGAAACTTCGACCTGCAGCCGCTCTGAAACTTCAACCTGTGATCCTTCCAAAACTTTGACCAGTGAGGGACCGAAACCCCCTCTAAAAGCCCCTTTGAGCCTCCCTTCAAAGCCTCTTCGTCAAAGCGCCCCTTTGCTCACCCTTCACACCCTTTAAAGCCCTTAAAGCCCCGCGTAAGCCCCTCTTTGATCCATGGAGACAGAGTGCCCAGCGGAATCCTTTAGCAAGTTGCAAGTCACCCCTAATCCCACTAGCTCATGCTTGCTTGGCGTCAGATATGCTACCTCCACCCGGCCTCTACTGCCGCTCAACTCCAACGGGCGTGGCGCAGTTCCCACTGCAGGAGCTGCATTCGGCTTGCCTGGCCGCTCTCTGCATGCTGGGAGTTGTCGGAATGCCTCTTTGGAGAAGACGAAGTTGAGGTCGGTCTTGATGTTGGCTCCATGTTACACTGTGTCCGGGTCCGGGCGCTTTCCCGTCCG